GCTATCGATTGGGATTCTATCTGGTTCTGGTGTTAGTGGATTCGTAGGACCAATCAGTGCTGAAAAGGGATCGTATTGCAGTGTTTCAGAGTTCTTCGATTCAGGTGAGTTTTGCCTCATTGTACCCGTGGGTCGAAGGCACCTATGTCGACCCATTAGTTTTGGTTTTATTTAGTAGAGGGATGCCATAGGGAATGTATATAGTCATGTGCAACACTTCAATGCACGTATTCCATTATTCCCCTCAAGTATTTCAATTTTTTCAAAAATGGTCCTTTCCATACACTGGGTGTACATCTGTGTACGCTTAACGTATGTGTGTGAGGGCATCGGGTGGCTGGCGCTCGTACGCTGGGCGTACGAGCATGAACGCAGGGCGTACATGGCGGATGTCTAAAACCCTAAATCTTTGTCTTGCACCGTATTTAAGTAACCTTATATCATTTGGACCAAACCCTAATCAGCCTCCATAGCCTCATTTTGTCCCTTAACCCCAAATTTTCTTGTGATCTTAATTCTTGAGCTTAAAGAGTGTTTTGGTGGCCATTTTAGAGAGCATTCAAGAAGGAGAAGGTGGTGATCAAGTCTTGGGTGTCATTGAGCTTCTAGATCCTGCATCTAGTTCATCTTGAGGAACTCCTGGCGGTATAAATTCATAACCTTGTCATCTCTTTTGTTAGTTCGAGCTAGGGTTTTTTTATGAAGTCCCTTTTTGGTTCTTGGACCCTTTCTTGTGAGTTGAGCAACTCTAGAGACTAGGATAGTTAGATCTAAGCTCTTTGAGCATGCTTGATGCATAAAGGTGCCATCTTGAAGCTTGTTTTGATGCCATGCATGAGTTTGAGGTCTTAAATGAGGTCTTAATGGGAAGAATGAAGTATTGGGGACCCTTATGGCATGAAAGGGCATAAAGTTGCCAACTTTATTCCCTAGGACATCTTAATGGACTCAGATCTGAAGTTTAACGTTGAAATCCCAAGTATTAAGCACTTAATGGTCGTGGTGCATAGTCTGCTTGTATGCTGGGCGTAATATTGTGTATGTTGCGCGTACAACCAATGGGCTCAGTACGCTAAGCGTACTGGAGTGGTATGTTGGGCGTACGCACCCAGATGGGTTTGGGCTTCATGTGGGCTTGTAAGCTCTTTGGGCCTTATTTAGTTTTGGGCCTGGTTCCATTTTGGGTTAGTGGTCTGATTATTCTGTTTTGGGCCATAGTTGTTTTGGTTGGGCCTTATTGGGCCATGTGGCCCATTAATAACTTTTATCTTGGATCTTATGCCCATTAGTCAAGGAAGGACTTTCGGGCCACCATGTAAGGACTTAGGTTTAGGTTTAGGACTCTTTCACTAGATTGAGCTATAATCCTAATTTAGGGTTACTATTGTTTAGTGTGAGGTTTCGAGCGGTTAGGCGAGCATTTATTGTGTTCAGCAGACTGAGGTGAGTCTTCTCATCATAACCATGGGTCAAAGGCACCAATGTCAGCCCATTATCTGATATGTAATAATTAGTTGATATGTAATTGTATGCTTTGTGGTATGGATTGTTTTATGTGAAGACCATGGGGGGAGCCCATGGCACTTGGTTATCAGACCATGGGGGAGCCCATGGCATTCCAGGTAAATACCATGGGGGGAGCCCGTGACACTTGGTTATCAGACCATGGGGGAGCCCATTGCATTCCAAGTAAAGACCACATAGGGAGTCCATGGAAATTCATGTATGCCTTTCTATTGCATGGTTTTTATGTGACTGTATGTGTTGTGTATTTTGGGAAACTCACTAGGCGTTTGCTTACAGTTTATTGGGTGTTTCAAGTACTTCTGGTCTAAGGGCAAGGGCCCGACTTGATGACACAATGTGCACTCTCCAGTATTCCGCACGAGTTGTTTTTAATACCCTGATCTTTTGAACAATGTACTATGCAATGGAATTTGTGGAAAATAATTATGGATATTATTTCTAGTTATTAAATGAAAAAAAATTACCTAAGTATTTGAGTTATTACATCATGTAGGATAGACTGAGGACTCTTGATCTAGGCTTTCTTGCATGTTTCTTGTTTGGTTGTGGCTCTAGAGTAGGATTGCCTGTCCGGGTTTCTATCTCACCTCTAAGTATATACGGTTATGTATTCCTTGGATTGTTGGTATTTAGTATGTTGATATGATATAGTGATCTGTTAGATCTGTATCCTGGTATATAGGATGTTGTTATGTTGTAGTGATCTGTTAGATATGTATCCTGACATATAGGATGTCGTTATGTGGTAGTGATCTGTAGATCTGTATGTCTAAATGTACTTGCTGGTTATCTTCTAGTAGAGTGCCTTAGGGATTGTATGTAGTTATGTAGGATGGCCTAAGAACTCTTGATCTAGGCTTTCTTGCCTGTTGCTTGTTTGGTTGTGGCTCTAGAGTAGGATCATCTATTCAGGTGGCCATCTCACCTCTGGTTACTTATGGTTACGCATATCATGGAGGTTAGCTGGTAGCGGGACAGTGAGCGGTGTGAGGACTAGTAGGCGGTAGTAAGTTGTATGATTTTTGTTTGCCTGTATTATGTGACTACTTGATCATGATTGTTTATATGTCGACATATGGTGGTAGTGGGTTGAGGCGGTCCTGCTTTGTGTTGTAGGCCAAGAAACCAGGTGTGGGCCGGCTGTAAGCCGTAGGCATGGAGGCTCGGGAGGAGCGGTTGGGTTGCGACAGTAGGTCAACAAACCCTAGGTATTTCAGCTTGATGGCTGATTGGACCCGTTGCATGTTGGCATTCCTGTCTGATGTCTGATTAGGCCTGGACATTCCAATCCGATGATTGTGGGTCGTTATGCATGCTTGTATGATTTATCGTATGAGGTATTTTGGGGGAAACTCACTAAGCTTTGTGCATACCCAGTTGTTTATGATTTCAGGTTTTATTGGTGATCATGGGAAGATGAAGGAGGGATTGTACACACTCATCAACAACATTGAGGATTTCGTGTTTCTTATAATACTCTGATTTTTAATAAATTTATTTTGGAGTAAACGAGTTTTCTTAATAATGAATTATAATTGGAAAGCTTTATTTTAATAAAATGAAAATTTTTTGTTGTGAAAATCGGGACGTTACAGCTAGGGTCTTTATACTAAACCCAATCTTTGCCTACTCGGATTCCTTGAAGTGTTATTTGAAATCTAGATAAAACCCACCATTTATAGTCTTTCCAACTCAATCCATGTATTAGATATGTATTTAACACCATTTTCATTAATAGTCGGAATGCTTTACCTAATCTAGATTTGATACAGAACAATCATAGAACATGAATCGTGGGCAATGTTTTAAAAACCAGTTTTTTAGTTGAACCGGTATGGTGATCGGTTCCCGGTTCAACCGGTTTAACCGGTTCGACCGCCGAGTGAACCGGTTTCTATATTTTTCATGTTTTTTCCTATTTTCCTACACATACATACATATATAAATTATGAATTTGATGTTTACAAGTTCAAACATTAAAAATATACATAAAAATAAGTTGTAAATGAATCAAAATACATTAAAATAACACATAACCATAAGTTTTAGTGTTTTACATCAATCGATATACGCTAAAAAGAAAATAAAATATAATACCGAAACAAAATATAGTTTTAGATGAATACAACGACATCAAAAAACTTTATAACATTTAACATATGTTTTTATTTAGAGAAAACTAAATATATTTGAAAAAAAAATACCAAAGTTTATTATGTAAATAATTATTTTTCATGTGTTTTTATTCGGATTAACCGGTTCAACCGGTTTATTTTGACCGGTTCAACTGGGTTTTTCTAAAAACCGGCTGGTTCAATCCGGTTCAGAAATCAATGTAAAACCGGTGATAGTTGCACCGCTCCCTCCCTCGGTTCCCGGTCCAACCGGTTCGACCGGCCGGTTCAAACCGGTTTTTAAAATATTGATCGTGGGTGGTGTTGGGGAGAAAACCACATGTGATATTTGAGAGAAAATCATGTTAATAGGGAGACGGAGGATCTGCACCGATCAATGGTGGAGATTGGGATTTTCTAATGAATATGAGAATATAGTGAGGGTAAAGAAGCGTTGATCATTTAGGTTTCTTTTGAAGGTTGTCGATGACGAGGGTAATGAGACATCGGTGAAGGATGGCAAATTTTGTCAATGGGAGGGCACCATCATCATGGTAACCGACCATTGGACGACCATCATGTCACCCCCTTTGCTGGTGACGACACGCCATTTCTACTCACCACTTTCCTTGTCTCGTTCTCTATTTCTCACCATATTTATGTCTCTCTTTATGATCTCTGACGAGAGGGCCGATTGTCGACGAGGGGGTCCATTGTCATCTCTTTCTATTCAATATTTTTTTCTCTTAATTATAAAGTGAAAACACTTCTCTGGGGTGGGGGGTATTTTGAATACAAGGGTTAGGGTTAGATTAGTTTTTGTAATAACCTCAAATCACAATGAGGAGGAGAATAAGGTGCGTAGGGGTTTATTTGTTTTCTTATTTTTAATAATTAAATTTAGTTTAAAAACAAGATAAAATATATTAAATGGACAAAAAAATCATTTAATGTCACTCAGACACGATTCATGCGGGTGTTATAACCACAAGGACCATTCGTACAAGTTTAAGAACCATAGGAATCATTCGTAGTAAAAATAAAACAGAGACTAAAGTTGTAACTATAGGTAAATTAACTAATTAAGGAATCATTTCTGTAATTTTGCAAAAATATGTTATTTATTATACAGTGTTTGGTTGTTGGATAATTCAAAATTTAGCTATTAACGAGCTAACTTTTGCTATATTAACAAGCTAACTTTTGCTATCAAATTATAACATCTAGAAGGGATCCCAAGTTCCCAACTATGTTTTTACTAATAAAATATAGTATTTCTGTTAATTAATGATTATGGATGGGCTTCGTCTCTAATGGCATTCGCTCAGCTCCAACTAAATAACCTCTCCGTCGCTAAAGATGTCGGAAAAGCGTCTGGGATCCTCGCATGTCTCTCCTCCGATCGTATATCACCTTCCGCCCTCCTCCTCGTCGGTTCAATTGAAGGTTTCATCGGTTATGGCGTCCAATGGATCGTCGTTAGCCAGAAAATCTAACCTCTTCCTTACTGGCAGGTAATGCTTTTCAGTTCATGCATTTCATCGAACTGTTTTTGTTCGTTTGATTTAATCTGTATTTTTTGAAAAACTGAACCTGCATGTTGTCGAACAGTAATAGAGATTCATGCATTCGTCAAATAGAGATTCGTCGAACAGAGATTCATGCATTCGTCGAACAGTAATAGACATCGTTGTTTACTTACTAATCTTCGACATCACCGGAGACCATGGCCTCACACTCTCACGAGCATTTTGCATCCTTTTACTCATCATATTAGCTTCTCCATCATCAGTTCCGGTGTACCTCGTGATTCAAAACCTAATCCGATCAACCCATAAAACCCTAGACGTAGAAGCAACAACAGAACCTTTGATTATACAAAAACAGGAAGAACAGAGCACCGAGACAGTGACAGTGGATGAGAAGTTAAGGGAATCGTCCAAGGTGGTGGAAAAGACGCCGCCGGTGATCGGAGAAGAACACACGGTGTTTGCAAACCGTCGATTTTGGATTTTGTTCGTATCGTTTCTGTGTGGGGTAGGAACGGGGCTTGCAGTCCATAACAATATGGGTCAAATGGATCTGCCTTTCGGGTATGCTGACGTGGCAATATTTGTATTTGGGGCTTTTCAGTCGGATCGGATCCGGGTCGGTGTGGGAGTATTTCATCAGGTAAGTCTATTGATCCACCTTTCTTGTCTATTTTTAAAATTTTATAGGTATATTATATATAAAATAACAAAAATTATTACTTTTACAATATAATATATATTTTGTATTCATAATTTTTTTAAGATATCGCAAACTGCTTTTAAAAATATCATGAGCTCTTAGGTTTTAAACCTAATATTTAAAATTCAAATATTCATTTATGTATGTATAAGTATTAGCGTTTTGGATTTTCGACTACGATTAAATATATTTTGCTCGAATATGATTTATCACAATAAATATAATTATATGATGTAACTGATAAGAAATTAAATACCATATAATTAGACAAAATAATATTATATAATAGTCAAAATAGTTTATTTATTTTATAATACAGTGGTCAAGTTAGCAAATCATAACTTGGCTTTCCGCTTTTTAAAGATCTAAATGGTATCAAGTAGGGCAGGTTTTTTTTTTAGATCGACCTCCAAAAGCCAAACCCATAATTTTTTAATCATGATGACTTCACAACTATCAATTTGCGAGTAGAGAACTTTAATTTATTTTTGTACTTACCAATTGCTTTTCCAAAAGAACGTATTTTTAATTAAATTAGTTTAAGCAGCATGTTTCTAAGAGTAACATTCAAGAATCTTATATTATAATATGTTCTTAATTCAATAAAAACTCAACTATCATCAACTTATTTGACAATTATTTTTATTTAGGTTATGTTTAACTTCCTAGCTAAAACGTTAATTTTTAGTTGAAAATTTAATTTTTAACTTACAAACTAACTTATCGGTAATTTATCTCAAACTAAGTTATAAAAAAAACTAGTTTATAAACAGCAATAAATTATTTTTGTGGTTTTATCAAATGTTAAACTATAATAAGCTAGTTTATTTTCTGTTAAACATGGTCTTAGACTATTTTTGAATGACTAGTTGAAAAAATAAATGATAGATAAAAAAAATAACTATTAATTAACAAGTTAGCTAATAAAAATTAAAGTTTAGTAAAACTAAATAAAATAACATAAAATATGCATGATATATTTGAAGAATATACCTTGGTAAAACTAAATAAAATATGTAAAATAATATAAAATATACATGGTATATTTGGAGAATATACCTTGGTGGCTCATGAGTAACACTTATGGCACCCCATATGGGAGTTCTCAAGTGTAAACTTTGAGGGCAACACAAGGAACCCATTAATTTTATATTTGAAGAATTAAAAAAATATAAATTCATAAAATGAATGCTTTATTTTTTTTCTTCTAAAATAGTACTTATTTGTTGCAATTTCCATGATGTTTCTATAAAGAACTCTTGCGTATATTTTAAATTATTGGGCATGCAAGTAGGGTTCATTAGATATTTTTTTATATGTATGTGGATTCACTTTATTTATGGACCACCACCACTCTAAAAGGGGGGTTTGGTCGACCCCTGTTTATAAATTATAACCATAAAATATTAAAAACATCACCTAATATATTAAAAGGGCTAGCACAAAGATTTGAATTTGATCATGACATTGTTTTGTCTATTTATATATTAAGATCACTTGACCCAAAGTTCCTGTTAGCCCTTTGTTAGTCCCAAACGTTGCGCCTCGTTTTTAATTGTCGTTGAGTGATATTAGTTTCTTTTTTCGTGTTGTATTTATATGCTAAAAAAAATGCCTGAACCCTACTAAAAGCGTATATGAAATTGATTGACTAGTTTCGTTAGAAATTATAGGATAATGTTATTAAATAATAACGTACTTTTTCATGTATCCTATCTAAATCAGTTCTTAACTGTTATTTGTTTTGTTTGACTTAATATGCTTAATGAATACACGACTTAAAGATTACATACTTTAGGTGATTTCCAAACTCAAAACCTAGTTGGACAAAAAGGGTTGGAATGCTTTTGCTTTGCCATTAAGGAAGATAGATTTCAAATTTTCAAGGTCAATAATGGTGGGTTTTTAATCAAGTGGGAATGGCTTTTTGGTATGTTTTTCTTCATGAAATCGTTTAGATATGACTTGCAAGGGTCATTTTGTATCGTGAATTGTGTTGGGATGCTTTTTTGGTGTTATGTCTCTTTTCTTAGAACTTGTTTGATTTGCTTTTAAGGCTTATAGGAGTCATGTTTGACATTCTTTTGACCCTCTCTTTATTTATTAGTTTCGATATTTATTTATGTCTCGTTTTATATGGCATTCGTTTAGTTACCGATTCATATGAAAAATAAAGAAGTAATATGTTGTTTCGTATAACATTAATATGAACAATATTTAATCTCGTAAAAGCTATATGAACAATAAAATTACAAATTCATATAAAATTAATAAAGAAGTATAAAATTTGTTGTATGTTGTTTCGTATAAAATTAATAAAGAAGTAATATGTTGTTTCGTATAAAATTCGTTTAGTTACGGATTCATATAAAATTAATA